TTTATTCAAAAAGATAGAAATGGAGGGAGAACTTCCAAATTCCTTCTATGGTAATTTAACTTCTTTACCAGGTAAAGATACAAGAAACAAAACTATAGACCCATATCCTTAATGAACATAGATGCAAAATTTCTCAACAAAATACCTGCAAACTGCATACAGACACACATGAAAAAGATCATCCACCATGATCAAGTTGACTTTATTCCAGAGACACGGGGATGGTTCAAAATACGTAAGTCAATAAACATTATAAATCATATAAATGGACTCAAAGACAAGAACCACATGGTCATCTCAATAAATGCAGAGAAGGCCTTTGACAAAATTCAGCATGAAATTTGTGTTCAAAGTCCTAGAGGGAACTGGACTGGAGGGAACATACCTCAACATAATTACAGCCATATATAACAAACTCACAATCAACATCATTCTAATGGAGAAAAACTTGAAGCATTGCCAGTAAAATCAGGAACTGGGGCTAGAGAGATGGCTCAGCAGTTAAGAACACTGGTTGTTCTTGCAGAAGACCCAGGTTTGAATCCCAGCACCAACACGGCAGCTAACAACTGTCCATAACTCCAGTTCCAGGGGATCTGACAGCCTCTTCTATCTTGCTCAGGCATTGCATGACATGCAGGCAATACACACATACACATAAAATAAAAATAATAAATAAAACATTTAAAATCAGGAACCATATAAGGTTGTCTATCTTCACTCCTTTTTAACACAGTGCTTGAAACTCTTGCAAGAGCATTAAGACAAGAGAATGAAATTAAAGGAGTAATAATTGGAAAAGAGATCAAATTATCCCTTTGTGCAGATGTTGCCCAAGTTCTCTTAGGGTCCCTTGCTCCTGGCACTATTAGACAAACTATATAACACATATTTATCAGAATTTTTCATAGTTTATATCCTGGGTAGGGGGAATAGAGTAACTTACAAAAGCGAACACCCAGGGCCCCACACCTGGTGCCCCATTCCACTCTGTGGCTCAGCATCCTGTCATTCCAGATCACTTCAATGCCTTGCCCACAGTCTCCATTAGCTTTAGCCCACACCTCATGGGCCTGCAGTCTCGCCCAGGTCAGTAAATGTCCCTTTCACGTCCATGCGGGCAAGACACTGGGGCCATTTTTTCCACACCACTCACTTTCAAGATGGCCCCAATGCTTCCCCCTCCATGGCTAACTCTCTGCAGCTCCTTCTCCATAGCTAAAGCTCCACAGCAGGCCCCACCCCTTGGAGCAATAAGTGCCCCTCAGGACACACTCCACCCCTTCCTCAGGCTCTTACAATCTTTCTGCCAATCTCCACTAAGGTCCCTGAGCCTGGAGGGGGTGAAAGATGTAGGGTGATCTCTCCTGTGTCATGGTGAGATAGTGATTTCTTGGGCCTCCCCATTATTCATCTTCAAGCCGTGACCATTGATCTATCTCAGTGGTGTTTCTTCTACTATAAAGACAAATGGAAGGAAGGAAGTAGACACATCTAAACAAACATGAATATAAATACAAATGCCTATAGGATATCCCAGTAGGTATACTATATTCATTAGACAGTATGCTTGTGATGGCTTCCTGGCTAGGGCCTGTAGCCTCTCTTGACATAAGGGGTTAGCCTGATCTACAGCACCAGGTGTGTATTCCACCCCTAGGAGCGGGCCTTATCCAATTAGAAATTTGTCAGTTGTACATATGTTAGTCAAGCCATTATTGCACTTGCAGGCATTGCTTGGCATGTCCATAGTGAGCAGCACACAGGGTCAATTGTTGAGTAGAATCATAGGGGATCCTTTCTTCCCCAATCATCTGCATAGCACCTTCTGGTACTATGAACATCATTAATCCAGGGACATGGAGTTTTTGATTGTTGAATAGAATTGTAGGGGATCCTTTCTTCCCCAACCATCTGCATAGTGCCTTCTGGTACTATGAACATCATCCAGGGACCATGGAGTTTTTGGCTTAGTCTCAGTTCCATCTTTTCTTTTCCTCCCACATTCACATCATGCAGTGTCTTCAGTAACATGGCCTTACTGACCTTTCTAGTGTACAACCAACATTAGTGGCAACAGTCTTGGTGAACTGGAGGACCTCTAGGATCTCTCTCTCTCTCTCTGACCAATAGCTCATAGGGGGGCAACCCATACCTGGTATTGTACATTTTCTTAATAGTTGTATAGTTTGGGAGCCTCTGCTTTTATTTTACCCAACCATAAAACTGCCAAGAATCTTACAGCTATACTGAAGAGAAAACCCACAGAGTGGGAGAAAATCTTCACCAGCAACACATCTGACAGAGGTATAACATCCAGAATATATATAGAACTCAAAAAACAGAGAATCAAGAAAGGAAGTAACCCAAATAAAAGATGTGCTAAGGAGCTGAACAGAGAGTTCTCAAAAGAAGAAATAAAGGTGCCTAAGAAGCACCTTAAAAGGTATTCAACATCATTAGTAATTAGGGAAATGCAAATTAAAACCACTTTAAGATTCCATCTTACCTCAGTCAGGCTGGGTAAGAACAAGAGAACAAATGATACCAAATGTTGGAGAGGATGTGGGAAAAGGTGAACACTCATCTGCTGCTGGTGGGATTGCAAACTTGTTAAACCCCTATGGAAAGCAGTGTGGAAAACCCTTAAGAAACTATAAATTGAACCTGCCATTTGCACCAGTTATACTACTCCTTGGCATATACCCAAGGAACTCATCGTATTGCAGACACTTTTACATCCATGTTTGTTGCTGGTCTTTTCACAGTCGCTAAGAGATGGAAGCAACCTAAGTGTCCCTCAACTGATGAGTGGATAATGAAAATGTGGTACATTTACAAAATGTGGTTCATATATACGATGGAGTTTTACTCAGCAGTAAAGAAAGATGAAATCATGAAATTTGCAGGTAAATAGATGGAACTAGAAACTGTTATACTAACTGAAGTAGCACAATCAGAAAAATAAATGACATATGTTCTCCCTCACATGCAGATCCTAGCACCAAACCCTTATAAGTGAGTATGTATCCAGACATAACTATAGGACCCAGGATAATGAAAAGTAACCAGGGAGGTAACGGAAAAGGAAGAACCTGAGAGAGAAAAATAAAGAACCTAAGAGAGAAGAACAACAGGTGTTATTAAGGGAGATATGGATAAAAATGGGGTTATTTAAATGGAAGGGGGAAGAGAGGGTTATACAAGGAATCTGGGGGATAAAGGGAAAGAAGAAGCCCAAGAGAGATGGACCATAGGAGAAGGGTATTATTAAAGGAGAAATGGGGAAATCGGGGGCACATTAAATGGTGAAACTATGGTGGAAGGGTTACATAATGCCAGAGATAAAAAATGCTTAGCAAGTTTTAAAAAATCAGAGGGAACCACATTAGTCCAACAACCTACTGACAAATTATACATACAATCAGTTCAAAGAATGAAATATATGTCTAGTCAAAGTTTATCTGAGAACGTTTGGTTATTGCCCATGCCTTATCTACAAAGCACATGGTAATTAAAAGTATCATACTGGTGGAACTAACCTTCTTGTATGTCTTGGATCTTTAACAACCATACTTTGAGGCCTATGCTAATCTGGTCAGACTAACTTAAAGGACAGTTTTTGCTCCTTGCCCTCCAAGGTCGATTAAGATCCACCTGCCTCTGCCTCCCGAATGCTGGGACTAAAGGCATGTGCGACCACGCCTGGCTGTTTTTTAAACTATTGTAAAGAGGATTTCCAAACAGATCTAATAGGTTGGTACTCATGGAGATAATATGAAGAGATACTGACTTCTGTTTATGTTGTAAAGATAGTGGTGACAGGCAGGCATCTATCTTGTCCCCAACATTTCTTAGAATGTTTCCAGCATGTCACAGGGGCTCCTCCCAAACCCATGTGACCCCTGAGGAACAGATCCTCAAATGACCTTAAGAGTAAAAATAAATTGCTTTATTTGGGCCAACTGTATGGTCTTAAACACCCAAAAGGAAACTATAACCAAAGTTTAAAGTGATCAGTATATTTCCTTAAGAGTCCATGTGTATAGCTAAAGGCTACATTACAAGAAACAGTGCCAGACAAGAGATACCTTCCTCTGAGTTGTTGGCCAGGGTGGTCCAACAGACTCCCCAAATTACTCAGGCTATTGCCACAGCCCTTGATGGCCTCCCAGAACTTGAAGGTAAGACCCTACTGCCAAAGACAGAACATATGTTAGACACAGAATTTGGAGAAATAGAGGTGTACCTGACCTGAAAGCCACTTCCCCTGAAGGCTAGCTCTCATAGCTTTGGAGACTGCTATGAAAGTGCCAAGGGAAAACATCAAGGGATGATCCAGGACCAGCTTCAAGACCAAATAACCACATCAATAGCCAGCAGAGCATTATTCTACTCCATGCTTTCAAAAGATTAAAATGAATTATAAGTTGTATCATGAGAAAAGGAATAAACAGTCATTTCTTTTGGACAGGGGGATTCTAAATAGAAATGTGAGCAGTGTGCTGACTCCCTGCAACCATGTGAGAGAGCTATTCTCACCACTGTTCAGTAGGCACGTATCCCTGAATAATGAGCTGTTATTTCACTCCGTAAAAGACCATGTAATATAACAACTCTAAATTCCTTTTTCAGTAAAATAAGGTGATACTATATGAATGGCATTCCTGTAAAAATCTGACAGCTAAGTATGACTTCATAGAAACATAAATAAATACCTTACCTTTCTCTCATCTTTCATTTTTGCTTTATATCCATTTTCCCGTGCTTGGTGAAGATATTTTTGAGTAGGACCTTCTGACTTATTTTCTCTCTCAGAACTATAATCACCTGCAATAGCAGAATTCAGTCTTAGCCTTTAAAATTTTTGTCTGTAGAAGTTATGATTGTAACCAAACTATGCAGACCAAAGGCCTATTAATATTTTCATTTAAAAAGTATTAACTTAGTAATAAAACTACCTAAAATGATTTAAGTTGGGTCTCAAAATTCAGTTTCCAGTAATGTAGGGCTGCTTTCTATAAGGTTAATGAAATGGACATGGAACTAGTTACATAGCAGAGAACCAATCTCCTATCATGCTACATTCAAACTTTTGTATCATCAGGATTTTTGTGCTTATAAACAAAGTTGAAAAAAGACAAAGAAAAAAATTTAAGAAATCACAATATTTTAAAGAAATGTCGTGGTGCATGCCTTTAATCCCAGCACTTGGGAGGCAGAGACAGGCGGATCTTTGTGAGTTTGAGGCCAGCCTGGTCTACATAGTGAGTTCCAGGACAGCTGGGGCTACAGGGAGACCCTGTTTCAAGAACACACACAAAAAGGAAAAGATTGTATTAGTATAATTTTATTATACATGCTTCTTAATCTTGTGAAGAACAGCTAGGAAAAAATACAAGATGATACTACCACACACTTGTAGTATTTGCCTCCTGATTCTCCTGGGACAGAAGCAGTCCTACTGAAATCATGAGAGGGGAAAGGATGACAGGAAAGGACAACTTTGCACTCACAGCTTTCTCTACAAAGATGTACACATTTAAGTTTGCATACCATCTATTTCTAAATAGTCAATTGATGTAAAATAACTACTAAGGGCTTACTCACTAATACATAAATGATAAAGTTCAATGTTGTGAATCATAACCCTAGATTTATAGTAGGGAAAAACGACGAAACAAAAACGTGTTTGATTTCATTGCCACAGCTCTCTTAAAGAAACTACAGCCCTGTCCTTCACCCCGCGCAAAAATCATTTCAAAATGGATCAAAGACCTTAATATAAGACATGAAACTCTGAAACTGTGAAAGAAAAGCATAGAAAAAAAATAGTTCAAGGATAAGAGAAGGATTTTTCCAGTACCTAGTATTGGTTGCCTCATTTATACATTTTACATTAGAACAAGGCTAGTCTGGTACCAGGTAATTCCATGACAATCAGACCAGAAGTCCTTTCATGGTGACTAAAATATACTTTGATTTAAAGTAAGTTTACACATTGTCATATCTAGATTCCCTATTAATCATCTGTTAAGATTTTGATTCACAAAAGTTTCCCTAACCATAGAATATCTGTAGAATAAGGCTGAACAATCTTCAGCAGCATTAATAATTAGGGACTCATCACACTGTATTCTTACCTTTGACTACAGGAACGTGAGTATGCCCTTTGTCTGTGTTCTTCAGTGTTGCCTGGAGCCCAGAAATCTAAAACAAAATGATGCAAACATGCAGCATTATACATTAAATGAATTTTCAAAGGTTAAGTAAAATGCAGTCTAAAAATTAATTATAAAATAACAAAATCTCTCTTGAATTCATGGTTATAAGTTTTAAAACAGGAAACGTGAACTTTAGCAAAAAGGCAACATTATTTGTAAAAATTCAGTTCCATGGACAATTATTATCCACTATAGAAAGCATCTGAAGCATATATCTCACAGCATATTATCCTGAGTCAAGAATGGTCTTTACACACTCAGATTAGTTCAATTCTACTTTGAGAGAGGTTTTTCCTCGGTTTATATTTCTTCATAATTCATCTTTATATCTATAAACTATGGGGTATGTATTATTCAGGAAATAAAATGTGAAGAGTTATACTCAAAACACTTCACTATCTGCACACAGGTAATCTCTGTTTTACTAAACCTGTCTTGTAAAATTAAGAACATTAGTTAGCTGTGCAGTAGTCCTTTACCTTTATTTCCTGAGTCATACACTTGAATCTAAAATTTGTCCTTCATTGTATATGATTATGTGAACATAAGATACCTTCTATTTACTTATATCCAAATATGCACATGCCTTTACTATCACTGAATACTAACATTTTTATTATTAATAAAAGCAGATAATTTGTAACCAGTAGCTTAATGCTAATGAAATGCTTGGATAAAAATAAATGGTAAATTAATATCTAGTCCCAGAAGTCAAATGGATTATAAATTTTAATAACTAACTTATCAGAATAGCATTAATATCTATAGAATAGTTGCTAATACAGCACTGAGAATTGCTCTATGTCCCATGTCTTGTTTCCCTGTTAAGATCAAACACTGAGATGGTTCATTTTTCACAAGGGATGATCCAATGTTAATACATTGCTATGAACTAAAGTCCACTTTTTGTTTTCGTTTATGCTTCTGGAATTCATCCAGAATATTACCTTTCACTTAGTCACTCTGTCTTCTTGGTCTTCTCTATATTGGAATGGCTTCTTAAAATTTCCCTTATTTTAATGGCCGTGAATGTTTAGAGAATTACTGGTTAAGTAGTATTTTATAAGATGGCTATACATTTACATTTTCCTATTTTTCCATGGTTAAACTAGAATTGTGGAAATTTTTAAAGGAAGACAGAAGAGAACATTACTTTTAATAAATCACAAGTATTTGCTACTAACCAGACTTAGAAACTGAGGATGTTAACCTTGACCCTCTGGCTAAAGTAGTTTGTCACATTTATTCACGGTAGAGTTACTTTTTCCCATGGATCCACTATGCCTTTGGAAGCAAGCTATGAAGTAGAGCCAACATTTAACAACAGAACTGCTATGTTCCTCCTAGAGAGAAGGAAAATCCACTCAATGCTCTTGGGGATGCCTCTCTGTGGAAGATGGGCCTATTCTCCCCCATTTATTACTCAGTAATTTTTATAATTACAAAACCATAAACATTTGTTTTGCAGTCTGTTGATGTGAATTATAATCCTTACTCCATTACTTATCTTCTTGGTCAAATTGCTACAGGCTACAACACTGGGAACTCTTTCCAGATAGACTCCAAGGATGAGGAGAGTGACTCCACTTTCAGTTTCTTGGCTAACAACTTTTAAGCCTTATCCCCTTTCAATTGCCTTAAACATTACCACTTAGCACCAGTGGCAGATTACAATCATACAAGTCCCTCCCACAACATAAAAAGTGTCATTCTGGCCCTAAACCTACAATCACACACACACACACACACACACACACACACACACACACACACACACACACCTTCAAACCTCAAACCATCTCTTTACCCTAAAGTCTAATACATTTCAGATATATGCTTAATAGCATGGGTTGCTCTCTCAGAGAGCATGGTTTAATAAATAATAAACATGCCATGACTTCTCTGTGTAGATGGCATCAACAGTCTCAGGAAATAGCCACCACAGTTCCTTTCTCCATTACCATAGCACAATGTTTTGAGTTTCATGTTCTCTGTCTCTGTCTCTCTCTCTCTCTCTCTCTCTCTCTCAAATAGGATGAGCAAGATGATTCACAGGTGAAGTGCTTGCCATGCATATCTGACCACCTGAGTTCAATCTCCAGAACCCACATAAAGGTGGAAAGAAAGAACCAACTCTACAAAGTTGTCCTCTGGCCTCCACATGTTACTGTGGCACACGAGTGTCCATATTCACACATCATGTATATACATAACAAATACAATTTTAAGTGAATAAGCACAGGGTTGGGGATGTGGCTCAGTTGGCCTAGCATGCGTGAAATCCTGGTGTGATGGTTTGAATGAAAAAGTCCCCCATAGACTCCAAGTATTTGGACATTTTTTCCCCAGATGATGGCGCTGTTTTGGGAGGTTTTAGAAGGTGTGGCTATCCTGGAGGAAGCACATCCCTAGGACTGGGCTTAGAGAATTCTTAAGCCTTGCCAGATCTCCAGTTGCTCTCTTGCTTCCTGTGCTTGTGTGATGATGTGAGAGCTTAGCTTCTGCTGCTCCTGCTCCAGCCACCTCCAGCCACGATGCCTCCCTGCCGTGAAAGACTGTAATTCCCCTGGAACCGTAAGCTCAAATAAACTCTTCCTTCTATAAATTGCTTGGGTCAGTGTTTCTATCACAGCAACAGAAAAGTGGCTAATATACATGGGTTCCATCCCCAGCACCACATAAAGTCGGGCATTATATGAGGATAACATGACAGCATTCAGGAGGTACAGGCAGGAAGACAAGAGTTCAAGGTCATGCTCTGCTACATGTTGAGTTCCAGCCCAAGCTGGGATACAGGAGACCTCATCTCAGAAGGAAAAAGAGCAAACAGAAACAGCTCTGTGACAGCTTTCAGAGTGGCTCTGGTCACTCACACAGCCAGGCACACTTTCCCTCAAGGTGTGATGTAGACCAAGGAGAACTCAAAGTAATACTGTGAGGACCTGGACTGTTCTTGGCTTGGGGCTAGACACCAAGGTCTGAGGCTGTAAAAACCAACAGACCTCCAAGTCCTGGTTCTACAGAGACATCAGACAAATTATTAAAACCTCCTGTGCCTCAATTTCCCCAGAGAGTACCTCTGAGAGTTGAGGTACTCTCTTCATTGTGAGTCTTTATAAGCTAAAAAGAAAAGTTACACATTTCCAGTCTAAAATGCCACAGAGTAATTATTCCTATTCCCAAGCAAGGAAAGACTGAATCAAAGTAAGACAGAAACACAGTAGGAGAAACACCAAACTCCAGAGCTCCATGTCTGCATCTGCCTCTAGTGATGCAACCGTCTGGTCTCAAATGGGCTTGGGCAGCCCCACCACTCCATTTGGCTGCCTGCAGAACTTACAGCCTTTCTCCTGGGTCTACTCTACTCTGCCCTCATCTTTCCTTGGCAGACAGCCCATGGTCCTGGCATCTGCAACATCCCAGGATCTCTAGCTTACAGTTCACCTCCATAGCTTCATGAAATGGCCTCTCAAGGACTCTTGCAAGGAATCTAACCCTGTTACATGCTGCTTGATCTCAATGGCTTTCTGGAGACTTGGTGCAAGTCTTGATGACTGTTTTGGGTGTCCTGGGGCCCTCGGGGCGGGGGTAAAGTCTGCGGTAGAGTCACAACACAGACTCCAGAGGTCTGGTGAGAAGCAGGCAGTGCGAGCAGCTGCAGACTCGTTTATTGTGGATCTGGGGCTCCCTTATATCCCCCACTCCCAGCATCCCATTGGTCAATTGATAAGTCATATCTGTTCCTCATTGGCTCTCTGTACCAGACCATTTTCACGTCAGCGGTCTCTTTGTCTTTTGGCAGAACACAGGTTTGCCTCAGTCAGATGTTTTTGGCCCGTTTGCAGAGTGCTGGTTGTTCAGGCAGCACTTCCTCCTACAGATGACCTCAAAATTCTTTCCTTTTGTATGCCTACAAAAGCAGTACTTTATACACATTGGGACCATGTTCTGCTGCCAGCTTGAGATGTAGCTTGTCCCATTTGGACCATATTGGCAGAAGACTCTGTATCTTCAAATATGACCCTGGAAAATATTTCTGAAAGTGGCCATTTGAGCCATAGAGCTCCCCTGTGGTGGCATTCTGTTTAGGCTCTCTCCTTTCATATAAAGTTGCGATGTTATAAACTACAGCCTTCGCTGTTTAGGAAGGGGTTCCTTATCCTTAAAGCACCTTTCTCACTGTCCCAATGTAGGGCTCCAAGTTTCTTTTTGATAGCACAAATCTCTTGAATAATTACAATGCTTTATCTGCCCTCACGTGTCTGCAGCTTTGAACTTGTTCACATTCTTTTCCTAAAAAAACGAATATGCGTATTTTTCACACTTTTCTGGTCTCTCGCATTTTAAATTTGAATAACAGCATTACCTGGATATTACACTGTATTGAAATTTCCTCTGACAAACACATTAGCTCACTACTTTTCAATTCAACCTCTCTTCACAGGACACAGGGAAAATGCAGCCAGATTCTCCCCCAGAATATAACATGAAGTGCTTCTAGCTCATTCCCTCAGAATAGAATCCTTGTTCTTTTCCGAAATCTCATGAGCTGGGCCTCCACTGTTTGCATTCTTTTCACCATCTTTGTCTTCTAAACTCCTACCTGGATGGCCCAGTAAGCTCCGTTTTCAGTGTTCTAGCCCGAAGTTCCAAATTCTTCCATATTCCTTCCAGAAACTAGTTGCAAAGGCTTGCTAAGAACCATGTGGTCTTATCACACAGGTTTATCACAACAATAACCCTCATTCCTTGGAACGATTTTCTGTATTATTCACTTTTCTCATTCCTTTAACCCTGACAAAAGCAACTTAGGGACTGGAACTATGCCTCTGACATCCATCATGGCGGGAAAGGCAAGGTGGCAGGAACATGAGACAGCTGGTCACCCTGCACACAGTCACGCAGCAGAGAGAGGAAATTTCTGGTGCTCAGAGTGTTTTCTTCTTTTTATTCAGTCACAGATTCCAAGACATGGCATAGTGCCAC